TTGTATATGACAATGACATTTTAAAATACATATTTTCACTTTAGATGTTGAGCTAAAAGGCTTAAATGGATACCAGTTCTGTAAGTCAGTAACTTTTCAGAATATGTACTTAAATTACCACTTCAGGGAACACACCATATACCATTTCTTACTGACTTCTGAGATTTACCTAGTATTTAAGTGTAGATCTATGAGCAATTTTAAAAATGGTAGCCTGTCACAAAATTGAAAGAATTGTTTCCATAGTTTTGATCTATCTCATGGAAAGCCATCATCATTCTGTTTATCATCCATGGAAGCTATTTCTTCTCCAAATTCAGAACACTTGAATTCACCCAACTGACAAAGCAAAATCAGATTTCTGAGGCTAAACTATTTCACAACGCATATTCATTAAATGTGTGGGAGGGAGAGAACACCCTCCTGCCTCATTTGTACATACCTAAGTTATGAAAATACCTTTCACACAGGCTGGCGTTTCATAGCAGTGTTAGATCCAGAGAGCCCCTTCACCAAAACCACCACATCATGACCTTCCATGGCCAGTTCACTACTTCTCCCTTTAAGTCCATGCAAGTTGGAAGATTATTTTCAAGCATGAAATGCAACATAAGTACAGGTTTAAGGGTCACATTTTCACACTTGACCTAGAGTTAGTTGAGGTATTCAGTTGATCCAATAGCAAGGTGTATTAAATGACCCTGAACTTCACTGCCTAAGCGGACAAGATCTCAGTTCTACTGACTGCAGTTTAGACATCCAGCATCTGCATGGTCTCCTACCTATAGGTAGGATTTAGATTTACGATTTAGAACTGAATCCTACCTCAAAAAGTTGGCCCTTTTCCTATAAGGTTGCATAAAAGCCCTACCCTCTCTAATCCTTGCTTGTAGCATATATCCCAGTTATAACTAGATTGCAGCCAGCACTACCAAAGCATATCCAAGCCTCACCTAAATAACTCAGGTTAACTTCCATATCACAGCAATTCTGACTTCTCAGAGGAATCTGTAGAGCTGAACCAACCTGAAAAATTCATAACAAGATTGTATACAATCAGATTTTGATAAGATTTGATTGGACCTGCAATCTATAGAAGAGTTTCCACAAGGTTTTGTCTTACCAAGACTATCTGTCACTATATCAAGACAGATTAATTCAGGGTTTTAATGTGTACATGAGTCTGTAAAGAACACAAATTAAGAAATTAATTCAAAAGCACAACCAGCCTCAAGGAGAAACTGAACATAACTCCTGGGACTAACGATCTTAAATTATTTCATCAAGCAGATAAAATTCAGGCTGTCTTGGTTATTCTATCACCTTCTATCAAGGTCCAGACATAAAAAAACATTTAGGCCAACTAGCTCTAGCATGAGATATTAGGCCTGTTAACACTGTCAAGGTTTGAGCAAGACAAAAGGTCCCAGCTAAAGAATATAAATATATAGCACCACAGACGCAATCAAGAATTGTTAGGCAGGAGGCAAATTAAGCACACCACCGCAGACTCAACTGTTCACACACTAAGCAGAAGCCCAGAAACTCATGAGGTTTCTTCAGGGAGAACAAAGATGCCCAAAAAAGTGAAATACCTACTTTTGAATCCGAGGTCTACCAGATTCTTTTCCAATAGAAACCCAGCTGCTCTGAACTTCAGTTGAATAGCTTTCTGCTGCAGTTAACCTGTCACCTTCCAGGGCTGTCAGAGGTAATGAGGCTCAATTTGCGCAGGACCCAGCTATGAGCGTGTGAGAATGTATCTGACAGGACAGGTAATGTGAGCAGGCATTACAACGCCAGGCTGATCAGATCAGAGCTAGGACTGCCTGACCTGTGCTGAGGTTATTATGATTTATTCAAGGAGTCAGAGAGAAGTTTTAGGGAAAGGGTAATGAAAACTTCTTTAACCCTGTGTCAGGTGTGGTAAGCTGTCTGAATAGGGGTAGTGCACTGGAGGGCTGTTTTGGTCCAGAGACCTCATTTATTAACAAAATCATTGACACTTCATTCATCTTATCTATACACCTAAACAGCAGAGGCATCTTTGCTTGCCAGAGTCATAACTGGCAAATATAAACAAATGAACAGTTTCTGCTAGCAAGATCACTTATATTTGTAGTTAGTTTCATTTCATATATTAAATCCCATTAAGCATTTATTAACTTTAATAACTTTTTTGATCCTGTTTAAAAGCAGGATCATTTATTTGGGGAAGCACTATTCTATTCATAAAGTTGACACCAACTTAGTTTTTCGTCACCACTTTCTACATACCCAAGTTTGCCAGATTCAGCCCAAACTGGTACTCCAATGCTAGTCTGACAGGTTTATCCATTATTGCAGTGAGTTGGTCAGCTTCAAAGAGCAGATTCTCAGTTCATTAACACCAAAAGACTACATCTCTTGAAAGACTGGAGCTATCTTTTTGCTCAGGATCTTGCACAATAGCTAACAGCATTAGTGTGGACTGCAGGCATACAGAAACAGATGCCACCTTGCAAGGGACTGCTCTAAATTCAATATTCACATGCAGAAGAGCTTTTTGCACTGATTTCATCCATATTTAAGTCTTAGCTTTTATTCTTCTGAAGCATTTGTCACCAAATCCTGATCAGTAGGAAGGAGAAAATTGCTTTATAAATCAGAATCAAATCTTTTATCCATTTTCCTGAGGAACTATCACTTGGCACCTTCTACAAATGACACATTCGCACTAATACTAACACCTCTTGTAGGCAAAATGGTCTAGGAAACTGCACACATGTACAGAAAAGAACAGCATGAAGTCATAAAGCATTTACATGAAGCATCATTCAGGTTTCAGAAGCACCACAATACTTCCTGCTTAAGTTCTGCAGAATCTGAATATACAATGAATGTACTCTACATACAGCTCAGTGAAACCAAGATGACTGGAATAATTCCATATCTACCCCAAAAGACTTGACAAAGCATCCCTGATTTCTGAGCCCTCCTCTGAAGACACCTAACAGGAAGAGGATTAGCCTTCAGAGCAAACATTAGGATGCAAAACCACTTTGCTCCCCTGTGTACAGGTATTCAAAACTCATGTCACTCACCTCAGACTGCAGTATACCAGGATAAGGCTCTCTGCCATGTTGAACTGATGTGACTTCATACAGCATATTTAAATTTATTAGATCTCAAATAAAACCACAAGCCTGGTTCTAATAAACAAGTGATACTAAACTGCAGTGACTGCTTATGGTTTAGGGTGGGTGTTTTTCAGAGAAGTTCAAGAGTACCTGTCATAAGTCTGAATTCATATTCACCTTCCAGACTACTCCTATACAATAAGAAATTTTAATTCCTTTTGACTATATGGAATCTTTAATGAGTAAGGTTTAACAAATACCCATCTATATGTAACAAAATGAAAATTTCTAAGAAAAATTGAGCCCTCCTATATTGGGGTAAAAATATCTTAAACAGAAAATACCTAGGATTTTTTCACTCTAGCAGAAGGGAGATTTATGTGAGTAGAGATACCAGTATTCTGCTTTTTGCAGAGAAAGACCTAGTGGAGACACAGGAATTCACATGGCATATCTATTCTGCACAGCAGCTGTACTCTGTGCTCCCTGGATCCTGGTGGTCTAAACAGAGACATACAGGATTACATCAAAGCTCTATCTGGATATAAATCCAGGTTTCTTCCCATAGCACATACCAGGCTTTATTGCAGTTCAGAGAGTCAAAGTGTCTCCATGGACCAGAACTACTGAACACACAGCAGAGCACACATGCCCATTCAAAAGACAGCAAGGGCTTTCCTACTAGCTATCCTAAATTAGAATCTCAGTGTTTAGTCCTTTAAAGTTGACACTACGTAAAGAAGCAGAAGCAATCTTTCAAAAGGTACTGTTTCCCTCTGGTACCCATTTTGCCTTTCTTCCCCTTGAGCTCAAGTATCTACATCTTAACATCTGTAAGAAAAACATCCTGATTACAAATACTGACCATGTAAGCTTTCCCTGTATTTTAACTTCCCATCCTTACATTTATGTATGTTTATATATAGCTCTTCCCAGTCATAAAGATGACTTAAGTCAGAGTTCCAAAGAGGTGCCCACATACAAATGGTATGCAGTCTTGAGCTCACTGAAGTAGTATTTCATGAAACTGAACAGCAGTAAAGCAATCCCTGCAACTTATCCAGCACAGTCTTGTGAGAAAAACATAGTATAGGGAAAAAAAATTAGAAAAGGTCTTCCAAAACAGATGGAGGGAATGAAGGAATTCCTTTCCTCCATGCACAGAAACAGAAGCAGTCCTGAAATTTCTAGTAGGAAAAAAGCCATTTCGAACAAGTGAAAAAATGTTAATCTGATTTTTATAACACTAACATTAAAATTTAAAAAGGGGCCAAAAGAATGAAGTTCCACAGCTTACTGAATGTTGAATAAATGCTTCCAGGTAGCAATATTTTAGTGCAGAATTGTACTTGACAGTGAAGAATAATTAAGAATTCATTGTGGTCAAAGATATTAACAAAACAGTCCCTACCCCTCCAGAACAGACTGCATAATTTAGTATTAGTTATAGCTACACTACAAGACTAACAGTGGCTGAAACTTAAGAGGATGAGAATAAATTTACACAGCTAGTTCCTTAATGGTGCATTTTAAGCTGCGCTTCAACCAACAATAAGAAAGTTTCAAAGCCTGGCATCAGAGTCAACTTCAATATATTTCATTTCTTTTGATATTCTGAAAAGGAGGATTCTGCTATCCTGAAAAATAAGATTCATCTATCATTGGTTCTCAACATACCATTTTGAGTGACCAGCACCACTCTCCTGCACATTTATTCCAATAAGAACCATTCCCACCTTAGAACTTCTATAGAACAGACTGCAGCACAGCACCAGTAGAGATCGTTAAGTTTTAAATGCAACAGTTAAAAAAATAGTTAAGATACTAGTGGAGTATCTTTTACAAGCACTTAGATTTATCAAGTATGAAAACTGGGCTTACCTTAGGGAATTGTTTTACTGGAATCAAAACTTTTTGCCCCAATTTCATATTTTTATTGATGACTACGTCAATATATTTTTCTTCTTCCTTTCCTTCCCCTTTTTGGAATTTTTCAATTTCTGTTAAAGGAAAAAAGTTAGTTATTTTCTCAGTTTAATACAACAATTTAAAAGCTGAGAATCTTCAAAAGTCAGTATAAATTAAAAACATTAAAACTAATACCCATGGGGAATAATACATATGGCATATTATTTAATACATATAATTGTTATATAGGGGTAAACCATATTTTGCCTTCTCAGGTTTTTAATATCCATGCTCCTATCAGCACATTGAATTAGCATGCAAGCATTTCAAATACTAACTTTTAACTTAACACTTATAAAATTTAATATAGCTTCATTTAGTATTGATTTTAAGTGTTAGGATTAGATTTTGTTTGGAAAAATCAGAAAAGCACAGTTCAACTCCATTCAAGATTAAAAATTAAATTAAGGCACTGTGCTGTAGTATTCTGGAACAGATCAGTGCACCTAGGACTCCTGGTAGTTAGTCTGATACAAGATCTTCAGAAGTTTTCAGTAGCTCTGTTACAGTGAAGGACTTTTTACTGAAGTAATCTAAACTTACAAAATAGAAGTACCTTTAACAAAGCCCAACATGTTTTTATGAACTGGTAAAGCTAAAAATTTGTTTTCTCCTGTTAAGTCATATATTGTTGTACACAGCTGCATAGTATGGCACACACTGCAATCCCCCTGCCCGCTTGAAAATTTAATTTCATAAAAATTGTATTTCCAGGAGTAGGAAGAAATTTTAAATTAGAACCACAAGTTTATGAATGAACAGTGGTTTAAGGACCTTCCTAGAAACTGCCAAGAAATATTAGACCTAGAAGTGAGTTTTGTTGAGGAACATTCATATCTCAGACTTGTCAAGGTTAAAGCATATTTGAAAAGTTAACAGCAGAGTTTTGAATACCTCAGTAACATTCCTCAGATGAGCCAGTTGCATAAATTCCTTAAGAGATCAATACACTTACTTGCATTTCCTAAATATTTAAGCTTAAATACTTGAATTCAGTATTTGAAGGACTTGACTTCACCAGCTTGATTAATGCTAGATACACTCACAACTCTACAGTATTTTGATCTAGTTAATACAAAAAAAATTAAAAGTCATAGAAAGAACATTCCCTTCTTGGTCTAGTAATCAGTCAACTTGAAGTAGCAGAAGTATTAAAAGAAATCCATTACTCTGAAGATCAGTTTTCCTACCCCAAATAGCTACATACTTTTTATTTACTACTTTAAGAACAATAATTTCTTTATTTTAACTTTCATTCTTTAATCAACTTTCCATTTGCTTGAAGAAGCTACTGAAATCCATAAGAGGCTGCCAATCAACTCTCAGCAAAATGGACCACAATTTTCACCCATTTGTTTTAAAGTCAAACGACTTGTTTTTCTTCTAATAAACAGCCATAACATAATAGCCAAACAAAATAAAATAATTTTTTCCTGTTATGGTCCAAAGTTAATCAAACTGACTTAAGACTTAATGCATGTTCACTGCTATCTTAAGACTTCCATTTTGAATAAACAAAGTCAAGGCCACTGAACTACTGAAAATATATCTCACATTGAGACCACATTTTATCTTAGATTTTTCTGGTTTTTGTCATTTCTTTGCACTCAAGTCTAAGATGTACATGAAATAAAGTTAAGCTTTAGGATTTTATCCATATCTGCACAGCCCATTCAATATCTATCATTCACATATATCAAGCTTTAGATAATTAGGGAAAAATCATGCCAGCTCACACAGGAAATCCAATCAGATTTTCAAGGTCAGATAGGAAGATTTTCCTTTTCTAATCCTTAGATTACATTCTGTACTGCTTAGCTATATGAAGCAATGACATTTCCAGATCACAAATAGTAAATAAACAGGTGATTAAAGCTTCCCATAATGCTAGAGAATAAAATCTCATATTCTCAGACCAAGGATGCAGCTAATGCAAGAGTCTAGGAATTTAACTGGATGAAGTAATAACTACATGGATTTTTTTCTTTACATTTAATCATAGCAGAGAGATCTAAGCCATGATTACTCTCAGTTAATTCACCAAATAATGTTGCTAGATACATCAGATAATGACAAAGTAGAATTGTTTCACGTTAATCTTTAGGCAAAATTAATCTTCCTGTGGCAGAATTACAAGTCAGGATTCCAGCTCACTCTGCTAAGCCAATATAAATACTTGTGTTTAAAGCAGAGCAAAGTGATGCTCTGTATTTGTCTGTAGTAAATCAATATAATCAATGTAAGAACAAGTGTCAAACTAAACAGAAATGTTTACTGTATTTTTCCTTAATACAATGTTTCCAAAACACAAGAACAGGAGAAACAGGAACCAGTTACATTTGTCTACAAATACTTTAGAAACATTCTATTTTTCCTTAGATTCAGAAGTCTTATCAGACACCCTATTAAATTCAAATAATTTCATATTAATTTTTTCTACTTCAGATGAAAGAACAAGTGAAGAATCCAAGGCTCATTCTAGGGTATCCAAATGATCATGGCTTCATAAAACAGGGGGTTGACAGAACTGCACTGCAATTTCACTAGTTTCCACAATAGTTTAAGGCAAAAATATGGTAAGAATAACATTATTCTTTATAAATACTCCTACGTAACACATGATTGAAATACACTGAAGTGGTTTTGGAAATTACTAACACTATACAACAGCAGCAATGTATTTCGCTTTATTTGGACAATTCCAATTTTATTAGCTTGCAGCTAAGAGAAAGAAACATCAAAATTTAGACCAAGTCAGCCAAACAAGTTTGTTACACAACTACTGAAGCATGCCCCAATAACAGTAGTATTTCTCAGTAAATTCAAGACTTCATAGTTGACCTAGAAAAAACAGCATCTTCCATTCAAAGAGCTCTTAAGTCAAATTGAAGGCTCTGGAAGTATTTATATATTCTCCCTGTATTTTTACTTCTTGAAAAAAAAACACTGCTATTGACCACTGCTGGAGATAAAACACTGAGCTAGATGGGTATCTGGTCTGACAGCACGATTCCTTACAATTTCACATCAGGCAAAAATCAAAATGATGGTACTACAAAAAACAAACTTTGGCTTATAGTTCACCTTTTATAAATATCTCCTTTAAGGAACACATGCAAGCTTTGATTAGAGACAAGCTTCCAGAGGAGAAGGGGGACAAAGATTTCAGAACAGTTTTCCCTTAATGGAGGAAAAAACATGGACAATATTGGTTCCATTTTCTCAAACTTTCTACAATCCTTCCAGTTCAGAATATCAGTAAGTACTTCTGAAAGTGTTTGGGATTAAAACATTACTTTTATACCACGGGTAAAATTCTCCAGCATTCTATACTGTTTCTTGTTTGAAAGTTGTCTTTGTGACAAAATCCATACTCTATCTCAGAAGTCAATTTTCAAGCACATGTATTTGAAAATACTGGCAGTTAGAACTTTTTCAGTGAAGCCAAGTCATACAAAGTCTGCAATGCTGGACATTGATTTAATATTTACAGTCTTGCCATGACTTCTTCTGGTAAATCCAAAGTCCAGTATCATAGAATGATGAACCTAAGAGTTTGATTTTGATGACATTGAGAGCTTAATCATTACTGCCACAGTAAAATGGTCTCAACTGTGCTTCAGATCATACAACTCTTACACTGGACTCCTTTATTCCCTGCTCCACTAAGAGGGTGATTAAGTTGCCTGAAACAGTACCTCCCCAAATATTAGTCTTTTCAGCTGAAAATAATGCTTCACAAAATGAACTAGAATCACCACATTAAGGCTTTAATACATTTCAAAAGGCTTTCTGAAGTAAACCCCACAGATTTCCTGAAAGCAGCATTTAAGAAACCTACTACTCACTCTCCCTGTCCTCTTGATCAGCATGAAGCTGGGTGACCCTCCCAATTTTTGCACTAAACAGAAGAGGTAAATTTAGCCTTCTGCTTTTGAGTATCTTAAAGGATGTCTAGTATAGTCTGTCTAGCTTTAAAGCATTTTCGCTGTGTATATATTCACATAAGATGTAGAATTCCTCAGTTTGAATTGTATGTAGCATCTCAATGCCCCAGAAGAGAAAAACCACAAGAGCAGCAACTAAACATTTTCTGATTTAAGTAAATGCTTGGACAAATACCCCTTTTTCCACCTACAAGATATTTCCAAAGTTAATACTAATTAAGGTATCTTCATGAAAAAGGCAAATTAGAGAACTAAAGTAATGAAACAAAAATAGCCTCAAAATATTTAACTCCCTTATTTTAAAATTACATGGAATGGCTATATCCAGATCCACCCTGGATGGGTGTAAAAGACTCAAAAAATGCAGTCAAATTTTCAATGCAGCTGCTCTGTTAGTACATCCATCCCCATTCCTCTATGAACTTCAGAAAACTCCATCTATCCTCCTCAGCCATCATTCTGATACTTAAAAAAAAGCTTTTTTTTAATCACAAGCTTAGCCTGCACAGTAGGTCCTAATTCTGAACTGGCACAAAAAGTAATACATTAAGAGCATGAACTGTGCACAAGAAATATAGAAATTTGTTTCGACAAATGCACATTATTACAATAGTTGAATACAGAATAACTGTCTTTCATATGCCACCTTAATTTTGTAGAAGCAACTGACAATGAATCTAATTTGAATTTACAATAAAATGAGTGGTTCATGCTAGAATGATGTCTACAACATTCAGCATACTCAAATTAATAATAATATCCCTGTTGAAGGACTCAAACAATCTTTATTTAAATTGCATGCACAGGCATTTTAAGTTCTATTTCACAGTCTAAGTACTACTGTCTGCACTGATCTGAAAATACATTTCAGTCACCAATATGACAAATATTTTGAATAGGCCTTTTTATTTAAGCAATTCAAAACTAATTGAACACCTATTACCTTCACATCAAAAGTGACTCCACTAAAATCTGTTTAGACTGATTAATATTAGCAATAAAGTAGAAAGCACCACAGTAGCAACTGTCAAAAGTAACATAAGATATTAACAGATGTACAGTCAGTCTTGCTCAGGAAAAA